CACTCAGCATAGTATGGATAAAGCAACAAAAAATTTTTTGATTAAATTGATATTAATATTTATAAGGTAAAAGTACCGATGCTGGGACGCACTTTTTGATTGTGTCCCAATAGTAGAATAGTCAATAACTAATGAACTTTTAAGAATTTTGTCATGAAATAAATTAATTTTGGATGTTAAAAGTGGTGTCTAATTATATCAATAAAACTTATCATCTATTTTCAATTGCATTACAATAAAAAAAATGTTTTTAAAAATAGCTGTTTCATTATACGTACAATTCAAAACATAACCTAAAATTTCAGATGTCCCGTTGGTGAAACACAAAGATTCCATTAAAATATCATGTACGTTTAGCCATTGGGACATCGCGTACCACTATTGGGACATGCATTCTCAACGATGTTTCGCGTTAGGTACAACATTACGTAGTAAGTTTTTATTAATTATAATTATTTCTTCCTAAGAAAAAATTATAAAAAAATTGTGTGATAAGTAGGAACACAAGATATATAAATAACAATTTAAATGTTCATGTTATCTTCTAGATATGATTTTATACGAATTTTTAAACGAAATTTTATCAAAAATCGTCCCAGCATCGGTAATTTTACCTTACATTCATTTTCTACTACAAGTCTTAAATTTTGTTTGTACAGTCTAACATCTCAAGAATAAAATTTATTTGAGGTGGGCCTCCTTCGTTGTATCTCGCTTCTTAGCGTAGTCCGATACTATTTATGTTTTCGAACTGCACCTTAGTTGCCTCAGCCAACACTTTATGCCTTACGTGTATAAGGTATTCGCGAGTCACGGGAATCAAGAGTAGACTCAAACTTTAGGGGACAGATGACAGTCGTAAAGAGCCATTTTTCTCTTGATGGTGCGTTTTTATAGCGCCAGAGCGGGTAAAAGAAGCCTTTGGTTGAATTAGGTCAACCAATGAGCGATGTTCCTACAGACTGTGTTAACAGCAAAACAGCAGGCTTGCACGATGATGTTTTCATGTTATGATTTCATGTATTAGGAAATAACAATACAACAGTACCAATCGCATTTTTCTGACAAGGGCGACGGAGTTTTTAGGATCAGTGATGATGAAAGCTCGTGTCAGCAAGAAAAGAAACACTAAATGCAAGTTGAAGTGTGACGAATAAGCTTACAAATTCGCAATTAATATTTTTGGAAATTTTACAATCAATTTTGAATATAATGAGATTATGTGTTAATTTACAATTTTTAAATTTGTGTACATTATTAGAAATGAACAATCAATGCGCAAGTAAACTATTCATTCATACATACAATACAATTTATTCATTAATACATGTAACGTACAATTTCAATGCATACATGCATTCTTACAACGAAGTTGGTCGTATTATATGTCAGCATAGTATGAAACATTCACCTTAAAGCTAATACACGTACACACATACATGTGACGTACGAGCTCCACTTATCATATGAGCTTGTGTATATACACAATACGTGTTGTATAAATTTGACAGATGCATTGCGATTTCACTTATAATATGATTCTTCTGTATCAACGCGGGATGTAAAATTTCCCTTAGATTATTGTCCCCCCCCCCCCCCGGCAACTATAGATCGTTCGAGAATTCACAGGAGTCGATAAGAAGAATTATTACAATATCATGTTCGATGTCAATTACCTTTTTTTTTTGTTAGGAAAATGACTGATCAATCATTTTACACTCCTGCATTCATCGCAAGGCAGTATAGGTATCAAGTTGTTAAATAAAAATGCGCCTAATAGGTAATAATTTTTTTGTATGTTTCTCTCTTTCTCTTACGATAAGCCTGGTACCAGGCGCGCCTCTGATCTCGATCTCTTGCTACCGACTGGTAAACTTGACTACTTGTGAGGTGCTTTCTACTACGACAGTGAACAGTTATGGAATAACTTACCCTTGCATGTGCGCGAGATGTACTGACAGCCGTGTTTCATGCAGGCGTTTTACGTCCACTATACTAATAATTTGCGAAACTGCGAGTAATTGTTGCTTTAACTGCAAATGAGCTTGTTCTTAATTACTTTTTTTTACTCCTTCTATATTTCCTTTGTATACGTTTTTTCCATTATATATTACATTAAATTTTCGATCGCTACAGGGCGCGCAAAGCGTAGTCCTGTTTCAACTTTACTAATTGTAAATAGTAAAACTACTTGTATACTGCTTAGGCTACACAGGAACACTGGGCCTTGCTCTGTGAATCTGTGAATCCTTAGCCATATCGATTAATAAAATCTAAACTCTGTCAATCTCTCTCTCTCTCTCTCTCTATCTATGTATATACAGGCTTGGGATCAAATATTAAAAAAAAAATTGTTCTGGAAACTAAATTTAATATTAATAACATATAAGTGACAAACACTGAATGTGTTAGTAATAATTTTTTTTTTTTCATGAAATATATATACGATGTATACATACGATAGTGAATGTAGTACTCTTGACGAGGGTACTGTTTTTGGTAAGATATTTGATGAATTAATAGTGACTTTGTACCGTCAGGTAGTTATCTGTTGTTCTGTCGGGAATTAGTGGTGCTAGATTTTGTACAATTTTTCGTACTCTTTTAGGAGTATTATGTTATGTTATAAAAATTTGAGGCTCATTTGATCTACTTGATTGAGCTCTATATGCGAACCGTGGTAAATTAATGGATTTCTTTTTTAATTTTAAAAAGCATGTAAATGAAATTGAAGGAATGACTATTGTAACACTTATATTTACTACTAGGCTTCTAAAAAGTATTGCTATACTTCGATAATTTACTTGTTTCTTTATGGCGATATCTTCTAAGGTTTCCTACATTCTAGTTTAACGCTTTTTAATTACATTTAACACTTCCACGTCATTTGATTCTGCCCATTTATTTATTTCAGTTTTTTCTTCCTTTTATAGCTCAAGAGTGAAGTTATTATTGGCGATTTCGATTGTTTTGATCTCGGGAAGGTGTAATAAATTTGCTAAACTGTAGGAAAGCTCCGATCTATAGAAGTAAGTTTCTGTCAATTCCAGTGTTGTTACTCTATACAGGGTGTAGCCAGGACTATGAGCAATACAATTACCGTTGATCGTTACTATTCCCGTACCTTGTAATTTAATTTCAGTTGATTGTATGGTTGAAGAATTATTCCTGTACAATACTAGGTTTATGTCCATTGTTTTCCTTAATCTCTATCAGATAGAGTGGATTATTTCGCTTTTATCGTAACGAAAATTTAAAGAAATTTTTATTTGTTGGATACAAAGGTTCTAACAAGAATTGATAGTACATATGGGATGTCGTATCAAATGTACGAATAGTAATTTTAAATAGAAGGCATTTTTGTCCCGCGTAACTGGACAAATGTCCTTTTTTTGGGGGGCAGTATAATAAACATTTTCGTTTCGTTCTCCATTACATAATCATCAATTTGTACATATATTAAAACATGTATCAAAGAAAACATGGAAGTACTTAGAATGCGCAAATCACGTGTAACTTAAGTAGTGCGTATAAGTTTATGTATTTTCTGTACGCACGTGCTCGAATACGCAATAATAATAATAAAATTTTTACCATTCCAATACCGGATTCTTACAGACCTATGGAAAGTAGGTATAATTTAATTTTTACAGTTTCTGTTATACCGAGTTTAATAACATTTGGGTTGGAAGTTTCACTTCTGCCAGGGGTCCCGAAACCTACACCTGGTTTTTGCTATAGCACTCTGATTAATATCAAACCAATACAAAAGACATTTAATCGATGAAAAAAGAATCGTTTGTGATATCTAAAACTGAGTTGCACGTAGGTGGTAACGCCGTGAACTCGAAAACTTTGGTTTGCAAAATAAAAAAAAAGCATAGTAATGAATTATTTTCTAAAAACAAAATCTAAAAAACAATTCAAGACAAGTTAACTTGAAAAATATGTTTATGACAGAAATCAATGGCTGATTGTTTGAAAAAAACATAATTTAAATCTTTATCAAATTTTTTTTTTATTCCTTAAAATCTTGCATACAAAGTTACCTATTTTAAACGAATCGAATAATTAGTCTCAATATACTACTCAACAAATAAAAAAATCCCTCACAAAATCCCTAAACAAAAAAAAAAATGTAACTTATTTGATGAAAGTTGTTACTATGAAATGAAATAGATTTTGAGAAGGATAACTTTACCTTCGTGATTTAATTATCAAATATACGTAGTTAATTAATTTAAAAAAAAATGTTTTAAGATTGCACAACTTCGGAGACTATTGTTATTACTCGACTAATTTAGAAATAATACCATGTATTTTTCTATTTTATTAGTATATATAATGACGCAGTGAAAAGAAAAGTTGTGCAAAAATGTTTTTTAGAATTATTGTTCGACACTTGATGTGGCTTGAGCATACGGTGCTGCACCTAGGGTAGGGTGCCATGAGGGCCCCTAAAAATCAACGCTTTGCGACGATAAATTTTTAAATAAATATAGTTATTTCGATAAAACCAAAATATAAGATCAAGAAATTGTCAGAAAAGTAGCGTGAAATTATAATTGTGAAAATTGGGAGATTTTACGAGGCAAGTCAGATTAATATTTCATACTTTTTTTCTGATTTTTTCTTAAGCTAAGTCGTTGACCCTATATTTTTAAGAATTTAATAGATTCTTTGTAAAAAAATACACAAGAACTGTTTTTAATTTTTTAACTTAATCAAGGATTTCCAAAGATATAGTAGATTTTGTGACCACTGTTCATAAGAGGAGGTGTTAAATTGGTGAATTTTCAGTAGCGATTTGCAAAAAAATTAAGTCGTTTACCCCAGTATTTTCTTATCGTAAATGAATTTGTGCATACTTTATTCACATAATTTCAGAATTTCAGAGGTTTTGAAAAAGCCGATAAAAATCGCCCAAGCCACTTTAAGTATAGAAATAATCATTCTTTAATCGAAGATAATGTCAGTTTAAGAAATTAAATAATTTTATACTCACCCAATATCATGGATTTAATGTACCCGGTCTTTTGCGATTCCTTCTATTGTGCTCTAAAATATTGGATGCATCTAAAGGCTCTGATTTGTTCGGCAGTTTATCCAATAGTTTGAGCAAAATGCTGTTAAGCTTTTTTTTCTGGTTTTCTCTCTGTAAATATTTCAATTTATTATTTCCATACTCAAAATATTGTCTATTTACCATCAGATATTATTATCATCAAAACAAATATTCATGATACGATCTAGTATTTCAAACCATGATGTAAAACACAAACACATTGAAATAAGCACTAAACTACGCGCAGCTTTTCACGTACTTACAATTAAAAGTATGTGTAACTTGAAAATTTTGTTTGATAATTATGTAATACTAGATAAAATTACATAATGGTCCATAAGATTATTTTAATTTTGAAACTCAAATTTCTTATGAAACTAAAAAAGGCTAACAAGTTTCTTTATTCCTTGATACCACACGTGGCTCGCCTTTATACAGTTTTAAGGTAAGCATTTTATGGACTGACTTTTAAATACATCACCCATGTTTATAAAACAAAAAGACGTAACTACAGACTATTGAAGGTAAGAAGAGTTAGAGTTAGAGTTAGAGTTTATTGACGACTAAGGATCCAGAAGTTATATACTAAAGTTCCTGTCTAGCCGTAAAGACAAAGATAAAGATAGAAATTTCAAAATCATGCTTAAAAAGTTATGAACAAATGTAAACTTTGGATATGATTTATAGTAGATTGTTTTGTATTAAGATCCATGCAAAAAAGATGCAATTTCATGTTTGAAAAATCATATTATAAGAAAAAAAAAAAAATTTTGAATCCTTGTATTCGTTACGTGATTAGTTAAAGCTGAGATTATATGGTTATGATTTAAATGACATTTGCGGGCTGTAAAAATATACTATTTTTGTATGAATCGTGACTAAAACCATTCTTTATTTTTATAAACCTCAATTAAAATGATAATTTTACCGCATTACCCTTGGTTTGGACAAAAAATAAAATATTAATGATAAATTACAGTTATAATCATATACTATATAGGATAGTTAAGTAGTACAGATTTTTTTGGTGAGACTATGATAGACTTGTTGATCTTTGTATCATTAGAAAATAACTTGTTCAAGTTAAAAAAAAAAAGTAATACAGTAATTCATACGATTGAATGTTTTTAAACAGAAGATTATGAATTTCTTAAATTTATTAGGCAGGCTTTTGTAAAATGTAGCAAAAGTTTTTTTTTGTACAGAAACGAAAATTGGCGAAGGTTAGGATTTGAATATAGCAAAATGCCAAATTGTTTTTAAGGGTGAATAAGTTGAAGAAAAAAGTATAAAATTCAAAATTTACATGCTTCACACAGTACGTTCTTTGGAATTGGCGTGGCGTAGTGCGGCCAGGGATGGAGACAGGCGGCGAAGGGTGTAAAGTGAAAAATCTACTTCCGTTACACATTTTCTCAAAGTCATAATACTGAAGTCGTTGGTTTACTCTGTAGCACAGAACGCGCTTATAGAAATATAACTTCAAAAAATACTGTATCCATCGTTATGGGGTGCACACGATGCGGATAGACAAGGCGGAAGCATTGACCTCGATTGGGTCGGTGTTGCCCAAATACCCTCGGCAATACCTATAATATAATACGGGGGTTTCGTCGATCGAGACGCCACTGGGACTAGGAATCATAGCTGCTGACGTCGTCGCACCTCGCGACTATTTCAACACAAAACGGGGGGGGGGGGGAATAGAGCACACTTAGAAATAAACACTCACGAGTAACGTTAAAAAATTTTCAAAATGCATACTTAGGAATAATAGAAATATTACACTAACTCTACTTGTGGGTGTATGTGTGTGAGTGTACGTGTGAGCGGACCAAGCACGGGAGTTCGACAAGTACGTGGCGCAAAATCGTGTCGCGGGCAGATGCACGTGAACTAAAGAGGGCCACTACCTTTTACACAAACTATTTGTTGGTATGTACCTACAGTCGCCGTGTAAGCTCTCGAGGTATCTAGTGGAGAGAGATAGGACGCACCCGTTAAGGCCAGTAGGCGTCCCCACTGGCAGCAATAAACGATTGTTAGCCTCCATGGTGCCTTGCATCTGATGTACGGCTCTTCTCGATCCCTGGGTCTTCCAGTCAGAGCACTCGCAATCTCTCCTATCGTCGCATACGGAGAAAACGTGGCAGCCCTGGATATCGCGGAACAAGGTTAAATCATGGTCGAACTCGAACATGGGAAAACGAAGGCAACCTACCGTACGCTTGCTGCTTTTCTCCCGTTCCCCTCTTTTCCCTTCTGTTAAAAGACCTGAACCCTTTTTCCCTCTTTTCATCACTCACTCAGCATACCTGAGATGGCTTGACGGTATCTCACCGTTACACTATATCCTCATTCATAACTACAAACGATTTGCAGATCCAAGCTCAGTGGTTGACAGTATGCATTATACTAGAATAATTTCCTTCCAAAAATAACAAAATAGCAGCCGGTAAAATGTTTTAAAAAAATGGTTTTTTTTTTCTTCAGATCTCCACTGTTAAATCAAGTGTATTTATTATTGAATCGTACAGAGCTAAAAATGAATAAGATTGAAAAATACAAATAAAGGAATTCTATTTTTCTTGACGCCAGATCAGCATCTTTTTTTTTCTTGACCGCTGAAAGCGCACTATCTTCATAGTGTATGCACGCTACCGCCACCAGCCGTCAACGCAGTGACAATGCTCGGGCCGTGAGGCACGAGATTAAAACTAAACAATTCGTCCGCCTCGTTCCAGGAACAAATCAGATAAGATCTTAAGACACCGCCCGCCAAAGACGGCTCGGTGACATCGATGCCATCATCTTGGGCTGTAGTCTCTGATATTGAATCTGACATCAATGGGAGAAGGGTCAGCTTCGTGATAAGTCGCGTGTACTCCACGGTGCTGGTCCTGATGGTAGTCGCAAAAACCAAGCCATCGTAGCCAGTGTGGTCGGCGATGATACGACCGAGCGGCTAATTTCCGCTAGGCTGAAGGAGAGTCAGGTCTAGAACGATAATGATATCGTTGACCCGAAAGTTGCGCTTTTGAGCGGCCCCCTTTGACCGCTGTTGAAGGGCATTCAAATACTCTAACTCCAACGAGACTAGAACTGGTCACGTATGCCACGGACGAACTGACAGTAGAAAGTGTTTTAAACGTCCAGTTCCACGCACATGACCCACCAACCGCACTGATTTTTGACATCGACGGGATGAGGGGAGCACCGACTCTGAGTGCTAGTTTGACCAAATTTAATGTGACCTCAAAGCAGGCATCTAGTAAGGCCCGTGTTGTGAATCTCCGTCTGAGAAGGCCCTCGAGACGTACCAATGCGGTGGGACAGACATACAGACTTCGCGATTGCAGCCTCCCTCATGAAGCGTACTATGATGAGTGCACTGAGAGATTCGTGGAACGTCCTCTGTCCTCGCACGGTCGGACAGAGTCCTAATGTAACGTACGCCTACCGATCCAGGCAGTGGGACAGCTGGCAAGCCACTTTAAACGCTAGGCGGATCACCGTAGTACAGCAGCAGTACTATCTATATAGTACAGCAGTTGTCCCGGTATCTAGTACATGGTCTGTTCCAGTTCGTGGTACAGTATATGTTCACGACACAAGCTATTAATACTATCTATTAGATAAGTTACTTGTATCTTATAGACAATAATGTATGTATATGATACATAGCACATCAGTACTGGACATATCTATATATACTATTCACTGTATAGGTGCTACCTGTGCGTTACTCTGTCACAAAAATAACAACTACAGCCGCGTGTATATTATAAGTATTTATGTATACATACGTATTTATGAAGATCCTGAATAGTTTATCTTTTTTGTAATAAATTTTTTAGTCTCAGAAATCGAAAACAGAAGCAAAAAAAGCTAAAAGGGTGTCGACTTAAAAAAAATGATTTTTAAAGTAACGAAAATTCGAAATGTTTTATATTACTTCTAAAAACTTTTATACATATTAACGCTATAACTGTATTTTATAGAAAAAAATTTGCTCTCCAAACTGTAAAATAAAAATTTTTATTCAAACAAACTATTATAAAAAATAAGTTTTAATTTTTTATTTTTATGATATTTAGTTTATATAAAACTAGATTATAAATTATTATAATGTATAAGTTACTAGTGTCATTTACAATAACGTAATAAGTGGCAAATAATAATACAGAATATGTTACTCCTCGAATAAATTGATCAACCTTAAAACATACCGTATTATTTTTAATATATTTTTAAGCGACACGATTTATAAACGTGCATACATACAAATGCATTCAATAATATACATATATACATCTATATACGTATGCACACATGCGCGTTACATACACATATGCGCGTCGAGTATGCATTATAATATACTATACTCGACGCTCGGCACGCGAGCTACAGTGGGTATATCTAATGTACTCGTCAATAGCAAATTAATAGCACCATATTTGTAGAACATTACTTGTGGGTCGTCTCTCGTCTCAACGTACGTGGTAGCTCAGCCGCGCCACCTGAAGGACAAAGGGCGTTCCACTAATCTCTCAGTGTGGCCTGGCAAAATGAGCAGACGTTGCGTGAAGGACAAGAGCGTGCTGGATGGCCTATCTTAAGACAACTGAAGCACAGCCTGGCTTGCGTGAAAATCTCTCTCCGTTCCACAGTATTAATTTCTGAGAAGCGATCGCGACTGCAAATGTAATGCTGTGATTGACAGACAGGACAAGGTGGGCTGTCGGCACAAGTTGCTAGAGATCTGTAGCGACGGCCAGATGGAATGGAGGCAAGAACTGGAGCTGGGATACAAGGGCCACTACGGCAAGAGCGATATGCTTCCACTGAAGCAAGAGGGAGTGACAGCATCGCTGTAAAAAATCCGACAGGGTACTGAAGCTTGCTGCGTTAACTCCAGGAACTGGGAAAACAACCTCCAACTTTTCGAGTTCGTCTTTCCATGCTCTTTTTGTCAAAGAGCCTATGCAGATGGCTGCAAATGAAATAATTCACGCATTCGAGAATTACACAAGTTGTTCTAGGGCCCGCAGTTGATCTCTATGTTTTTCCAAAGTGTCCAGGAGTCCTTG